GGGCAACAAAGTAAGACTCCATCTCTACAAAAAAATACAAAAGTTATCCAGGAAAGGCAGCATGCACCTGTAGTCCCAGCTACTCAGGAGGCTGAGGTGGGAGGAAGGCCTGAGCCTGGGAGGCAGAGGCTGCAGTGAGCCATGATAACCAGACCGCACTCCAGCCTGGGCAGCACAGCCAGACCCTGTCTCAAAAAACAATGAAAACAACAACTTTTACTGCTACTATCACATATCTTGCAAGGAGAGACTTTTAGAATATGTACAATTCTAGATTCAAAATTTTCCTAAACCAGGCAACCCTAACTTTCCCTGGGAGGCCGGCTGACCACCATCTTCTGGCCTGGCTGCACATCGAGTCCTGGCTAACCCACAGCGCGGGGTGGCGTCCAGGAGGACGCCAGAGGCCAGAACAGTCGTGGGGATGGAGCTGTGCTAATGACAGTGGGTGACATCTGCCCGTCTGGCAGGCCCCGCCCTGGGCCTTACATTTGTTTATTTAGTGCGAGGTAAAGGCGAGCCTGGGCCCTTTCCTCGGGGGCTGCAGCACAGCAGCTGTGGGGCCTCAGAGCTGTTGAGTGGGGGCCGTGCTGGAACATGCTGCGTGGCAGTGGGAGGTGCAGTATACCCCCCCCGGGGAAAGGCTGCTGGTTTTGGTTTCTAAACCCTTGGCTGTGTTAGGGCCGTGGGGAGGAGGAGAGGTGCCTGCTGGGGATGTGTGGGCCAGGCTCCCGCTTCAGACTCTGTTAGAACCACCTTGTGGAACATCTGTGCAGCCACAGCACATTAAAATGTTTTCCTTCTGGCAGCTACTTTTATAAGGATGTAATAAAATACGCATTGCACAGATCCTTCTATTTTTGGTGGGTCAGTATTGCCAGCGAGCTGACCCTGACCAGGTGTGGAGGGGTGTGGGCAGGCGGGCAAAGGCTATGGAAATGTGGCCGGATGCACTGAGCCCTGTGCCCCTCGCTTCCCAGGTGGCGTCTCCTTCCCAACCCATCCCCTGCGTGGCCATTGACGTGGGCTCAGCTTCCCTACCATGGGCTGGGGCCCCCTGTGTTCTGGGGAGTCCGTCTGCCCCTGGGGACAGTGCTGCACACGGCGAGACCCAGCAGCCTTCTCCACCTGACCTTGTCTACCTTTTGTGGCCAGAGGGTTTCGCCTGTTTGTTGGAAGATAACTTGATTCTGAAACACAAAGATGGGAACCAAGAGGCCGAATTGCTGATGTGACTGGACTTGCCCTGATGACCCCGGGTCTCACTTTGGGCTGTTGGTGTCCATTTAAAATGGGCCCCAAAGTGAGCTCAAAGCCCTCATCCCTTCCCTGGGGTGGCAGGAATCTGCCCGCTGCATGGAGCTGGGGAGGAGAGACTCTGATTTGCTGGAAGGGCCTCATTCATTTCCATCTGACCCCCAGGCTTCCCTGTCTGCAGGGCTGACTCCACCCAGCCCTGAGCCCAGGCACCTCGACCACCTCCACGTAGGGGAGAACACACAATCCCTGGGGGTCGGCATCCAGAAGTTCTTTCTGAAGATGGGTGGATGGAGCCCCTCCCTCCTGAGGGTGCTCCCCAGCTCCTGTTCAGCAGACAGCCCACCGCATTGTCTTAGCAGCAGCGTTTTGCTAGTGGCAGATGATGTTCCACTCCCAAGCAGGTTCTGGACTGTTGCTGTCACCTGGACCTCCTCTTTGTCAGATGCCACCCCCTTTCTCAGACCCCTTGGTGCCATAGAGCACATGGCTTTGTGAGCAGATGCCCGTCAGGGACAGCTCTACCAGAACAGACCGAGCCCAGCCCGGCGAGCTGTGATGTTCTCTCGCTGCTCGGTTCCCCCTCTGCCATCTGCAGCGACATAGGTGAGGTCTGTCCCCTGGCAGACAGCAGGCCTTCAGAGCCCTGCCAGAGTCTCTTAGGTCTCCCTCACACACCCACATCCCCTGTCCCCAGGCCTGGACAGCCCAGTTCTTTCCCATTTCTTGGTGTCAGACCTTTTCAGTAGATGAATTCTAACTTGTTCAAATCTTTTAAAACCCAGTGCCTGAGCAGGGGACAGCAGCACGCACCTGTAGTTCCAGCCATGTGGGAGGCTTAGGTGGAGGGTTTCAGGAGTTCCTGTCCAGCCTGGGTGACAAAGCAAGACTTTGTCTCTTAAAAAAAAAAAAAAAAAAAGCAGTGCCCTAAACAGAATCCAGCCCTGCAGATGTAGCTGGGCCGGGACAGAACAGAGGGAACCACTGCCTTCCCCAGCAAGCGTTGGAACCTGGCGTCAGCAATGTCTTCGTCATGGGATGGGGTGGGAATGCTGCCCTAATCCGGGCACGAGTAACAGTGTCATTTATGCACCTTCATTTTGCACAGAAGCTTTCCTGGCAGCCACATCGCGTCCTGGTCAAACTTGAAATTATCTAAAAACCACACATCTCTTCATAGGATCTGTTTGCAAGTCAGCAGTTCCCCATTTTGTACTCCATGAAATGCGCACCTGAGCCTAAATACCTGGTTTGCATTTGCCCAGGTACATTTAACTGGCGTGCTGAGGTAGGAAGAGCAGAGGTGTCAGAATCTAACAGTGCTGTATGATTCTTGCATCTTTAAGCTTCAGTTTCCTTGGGTTTAAAACAGGGTTCCTAGGAAGATGAGGAAGCAAGGTGGCCGCCGCCTGGCTCTGTTCCCAGTAGCTGCGCTCGCTCTGTAGCTAGCCTGGGTTTCTGGGTTCTGTAGTAACCCTCTGACCATCTCAACCCTTGACACAGTCGATAGGTTGCCGGTAATTCTCTCAGCTGGGCCTTCAGTTAAATCTTGGACAAGCAAATTGACCAAAGGCAGGTAGAGACTGCTACAGGGTGCCACGTCACATATGCAGTGCATACATCGTTCTGTGCCAGTGAGCTGACCCTGACCAGTTATGAAGGGGAGGGGCGGGGGTGGGCAAGGGGACTGGAAACGTGGTCAGCAGGCCTCCACCATGCCCCTCCTCTCAGCCACAGGAGCAGGATGGTAGATGGGAACCTGCCAGAAGGATGCAATCCTATTTAAGTAGTTCTGTTTTCCTCCAGCCCAGCATCCAAACCAAAACAGGAAAAAAGGTGTTCTCGTGGAAGGGCTTGTTCACAGTGAGCCTGGCTGGCTCCTCGTGATCTCTGACTTTAAAACGTGTCAGCATATGATTTTAACAAGACCATCACAAATTGTTATCTGGATCTGTTTCAAGCTAGCATTTACTTGGCAGAGTTTATTCTTCCTTATTTGACAAAAGTCAGGTCGGCCGGGCACAGTGGCTCATGCCTGTAAAACCCAGTACATTGGGAAGCCAAGGCAGGTGGATCACCAGAGGCTGGGAGTTCAAGACCAGTCTGGCCAACATGGTGAAACCCTGTCTCTACTAAAAATACA